AAATTTTTTCCAAGGAAGCACGGACACTTGTAAAACAGGAAGAGTTATGTCTGACACGCTCCGACACGGTGTCGGACACGCGGTCAACTTTTTTCGACACGTTGACCATTCCGACACGCGAATTTGACCGTGTCCGACACGGTCAAATGACATTTTCGTAATTTTTTTTTTAAAAAATTATTTTTAAAAAAAATCAAAATATATTAATAAAGCTTCCACCTAATCATATCAATTTTATTTTTTTGTCTTTTTTCTCCTTAAGTAGATAAGATGTCTTATCAGCATCATTCATTGTTGTCAATTCCTATTATGCTCTTGTTGTATCTCCTTCTCTCTGATCTCTCTCTAATATGATTTGATCTCTCTATCTGATATTATATATCTCTCTCATCTCAGTTCTTATTTTTTATTAAAGCTTCCATCTTTATATTGTGTTGATGGATATTATTAATTTAATTTCATTTTTTTGTTAAATTATTAAATCTTAAATGAAATATACACTATATAAATTAAAAATATTATTTAATATTAAAACGTGTCACAACGTGTCGAAATTCATATTTTTTTAGGATTGACGTGTCGGAGTGTCGTGTCGTGTCGTATCGGTGCTACATAGATTTTTTCTACCATGTTCCCAACAAAAAAAATTTCTCGATGAAAAAAATATCTCCTTTACCAAACGCCCCCTAGGGTGCATTTGGTTTGGGTATTCCTATAAGATAGATAGGCATCAGTAAGTGGCATTTTTTCTTGACCATGTTTGGTTCATGGTTTTTGAAAATTTTACCAGCAAACCAATTTGCCCATCCTTCATCAATTGTGCAGAAAATTTGACGATAAACACAGATGAGAAATGCCACTTACAGTATGAAATTTGTAAGTTGACTAAGTAAATTGATAAAAGAAAATGAGAGATGTGGGTGATATACCTTTTCTAACCTAACCTCACATCTATGCCAAAATTACTTTTGTCAATTTTTAAAATTTAAAAAGGGTTACTTATGTCATTTTATACCACTTTTCCATCAATATTTTTCTTTTTTTGATAACATCCCATCAATATTTTACCCTCAACTAAACATTGACTTACAAAAATTTAATCAATTATTCAGTAATATTTCGTCCAACCAAATAATTTTTTTTCATCTTTACCAGCAAACTTGCTTTTTCACAATTTCCCCAGTAATTATATTTACCTGTTAAAAAAAATTCTTCTCTACGAAACGCTCCCCTAAAGTAATATTTTGGAATAGTTAATTTCACAAAAAAAAAAAAGTTGTGAACTCGTTTACTAGGCTTCCTATTTACTTGATATATTATTTTTTTTCCAAAATGTGATCTTTTTCATTTGCCACCCACACTTCCTCATCAAACCCAAATGAAAACCTGTATCAAACACACCCTAAAAGAAAATTAGAGATCACATTTATTTATTTTTTGCTAACTAATTAAAAGTCGCGTTTAATTTGTGTATTAGTTTCTTGTTAATATATGTTTATTATATTTTGAGTAAATAATCTATATATTTTTATTCGTTTTTTCTATAGTCAATGTAGATAACTTATTTACATTAAGCGCAACACGATGTCATTTTAGGGCAGAAATCAAGGTATTTTTGTAATTATAATTTAATTTACGGTTATAATAACCTTTTTCATTATAACTTTTTAATTTTTCAACCCAAAACAACATTATTTTGGGAACGAATGTAAAAAACTTATTTTTTTTTTGGAGTTACCCAACTCTAATTACCTCTTTGAGGCGAGTTGGCTCCCTCCGGTATCCCCACGAGCTTCGACTCTTTGAGCCGGCTATGAGACTAATCCGGAATGCGGGGGAGCAGTGATGGCTAAAGGTTCAGCCCACTCCCCAAGAATGCATTCAGCAGGAATCGAACACATGTAAACATTAAAACTTTTTTTTTTATATCATGCACGTTAATATCAGTATATTATTATCAATATTTTTATATAAACATAAAATAAACTATGAAGGGTAACTAGAAAAATACAAATAAGTGAAAGCTACAACAATTCGATATTGAGTAAATATTATTTTTGGTCCTCAACAAATTTTACGATACCCGCTTTAGTTCCTAACAAATAAAAGGCCATTCGTAGTCCCTAAGAAATTCAATGTGGACCCATTTTAGTCATTTTAAAAGATTAATGTGGGTCTTTTTTGAATTTGTGAGGGACCACGATTTCAACTAAATAGGTCTATTTTGAATTTATTAAGAACCACAAATAACATTTTATTTGTTAGGGACTAAAGTGGGCATCGTGAAATTTACTGAGGACAAAAAGAATATTTATTCTTCCATATTTTATTTACACAGTAATGACATTACGAAATAGCAAATAACTTATTTACAAAAAAAAAAAAAAAAAATAGCAAATAACTAGGAAGTAACAAATAAATCTACTTTTATAGGCCCCTTTTTCGTGGTTCATACTCTTTTAAGCATAAGAAAGTTTGAGAATCATTTATTTTTTATATCCTTGAGAGAGAAACGTTTGTTTGAATAATTAAATTTTAAGAGAACATTATCTCAAGTTTTGGGGCTCCCAAAACTCTAGAAGATAATTAGTTTTGGTTAGCGAGGGACTGGGAAATGACTTGATGAACGCACGGGGACGTTTACAAGTCCATTACGCGAAAGACATTAATTTTCTAATAGAAAGAAACTTTGACCCACATTTCACGTGAAGCAATATATTCCTTGATAAAGCCAACTGCTCCGTTAGGTAATAAGGACAGTTCTCTCTACGTCATGTCTTAGGGCACCCTGCAAGGACTTTTCAATTATAAAAATACTAGTAGAATTAAACAAAATCTTACCCGATATCATAGATTTGTATTACCGTAATAACTAGAGTATTGTTGGTTTAAAATATAACATATACCAAAAAGAAAAATGGATTACTGAATAATGTTCATTTGAGTTTTCATCTTCGTGTGCAATGCACGGAGTCATGGATACTATCAAGTTGCAACTTGCAAGTGTCAACTTACGGAGTCATGGATTGCATCCACTTACAGAATTTGCAAGTTCCGAGTAAACAACTAATTTAATTTAGAAGTGAAGGCAAAGTTACAATAATAATTTTATGGGATATGTTATTTTACCTATCATTTTTTCTGTCTACCTTTGCCTATCACCCTAAAATACCATTAGATCAGAATCTCAAGAAGAGAGAAAAAGATAAATGTTAGTTAAGATTCTGATCTAATGATGTTTTAAGGTGGTAGGTAAAGATAAGCAGAAAAAATAATAGGTAGAATAATTTATCCTTGATTTTATATCATATTTCTTTAATACGTCTTTTTACTTAAGAATTTATTAAATTTAAAGGTAGATAATATACATACTTTATATAAAATAATGGATAAAAATCAAATTTGTGACCATTTGATCACACAAGTTTTTATATTATATAAAGACTCAATTTAATCTAAAGACTTAAATTATTATATCAAAAAATACATTAATAATAATTTTATATTATATTTCTCTAACATATATAAAAACATATATAATAGATTACAACTTGCTTGCAACATAAGTTGCACAACCTTTTATGATACTGTTATGAAGTATTAAAAAGTGTCCAAATGACGTAAAGGTTCATGCCCATATGATATTGGGCTTGTCGCAATATCAGTTGTCAAGCCTATGTTTGATCGGGCCTATGTTGAAAAACTAAAAACAGCTACTTGGGTGTTTAGATCTATTTCGTTCGTTTTTCATAAGAAAAAAGACAACTATAAAAAGCATAAGCCCAGTTTGTTGAGGGGTTATAATACAATGCGCTTAATGCAATCAACAATATATAGGGAAAAAGATTCTCTTGAGATAAATTTATTTTTGGTCATCCTAAAACTACGTCGTTTAGTTTATTTATTTTCTTATATTAATTGATTCATATTTGAATGGTTATGATTTCTTTTTTCTCTCTCTTCCTTCTTTGTCATTGATCCATCTTTGTACGGTTATGATTTATTAGTCAGAGATAATATTATATCTGACAGCTTGAGAAACGATAAGCCCATATATATATATATATATATATATATATATATATATATATATCAACGTTATTTAGTATGGAATTTTTATACGAAAATTATAATAAATGTATCAATTAATTATTGCATGAGAAAAAAATTAAGGTCTGAAAATTAAATTGACAAAATATAAAAATTAAGGTTTGAAAAGTAAACTGGGAAAATACAACTTTATTTAATTTTTTTAATTGGTCTATTAAAAAAATACATTAGTATCATTTAGTATTTTTTTAATTAATGTATTTTTTTAATAGATTAATTAAAATGACTGACTTATTTACTAATTTATACACTTCTGTTGACCCAGTTAATTGGTTCGAGTTATCCCACTAGCATTATTTCTAATTGTTTACTTACACTACATATCGTGTACAATTGCATTTGTATCTTTGTGACAGGAAGATGCGAATACGATGACAGAAAATAATAATAATAATATTAAATAATTGAGAAAAATAGGAATTCAAACCAGAAATCAAAGCTTTAGGAGCAGACGCTAACGTAGGTAAGACGATTGTTACACGTTTGCTTGACGATTGTAATAAGGGACAAATCCGAGACAACAACGTTAGATTGAATCCCTTCCCAGCACCATTAAATTCACTTTGACCCGAAGAATATGCATTATATATTTTAAGGAATAAGATATTATTACTCACGAATAATCAATATCACTATTATATGTTAACAGAATTGTAGATTTTTCTGATGAATGATTATTATTTATTGTAAAATAATAATTAATTAATGAATTTAATTTATTAAAATAATAATATAAAAATCAACAATTAAAATATGATAATAGTTATATTGATAATACTATTATTTAGCAATTAAAAAAATAAAATTTAAGTTTAAATAAAAAAAGAAAGTAACATCTATATCTATTCGACCTGAAGAATATGCATGACCATGACTAAGATGCAGGAGAAGATAGCCTTTGCTGTGACTTTATCATCTGGTCTACGATCTCTTACGCGGTTAAAGAGAGACACGGAGACAGTTTGATTTTTCTGTTGGCCTTTGGTTTGTTTGTTTCGAATATACAATATTATTGTTAAGAGTTGGTAGTGTCTAGTATCGCAAATAACAACTCGTGCACCGGAATTTTCGTTTAGTATTTGTTCAGCCGAATTTGTTGATAGTTTATTGCGTCAGATCTGGCATGGATCCGGGTTCGGAGGCCTTTGTCTGAGCTCCTCTTTCTTTCTTCGGTTTTTCACGGTTATGGGACAGAGTCGAACTTCAAGACATAGCTCTGTTCTTCCATCCAAATCTCCAATTTCCACTCCCACACATTATCGTTCTTCAACAATGAAGTGAGTGCTTTTTCCTCTCTCTCTCTCTCTCTCTCTCATATATATGACTATATCAACTAACTACGCTCATCACCTGATATATAATATAAAAGCTCATTTTGGATGAGCTGTTTGATGTCAATTTATAATGAAAGGAAACAAAAGAAGAAGAAAAAGCGAAACATAATAATAGGGCCCAATCTGTGATTCGATGATACTCATAATGGAGCTATATATGTCTAATTTATTTGGCGTATGTGTTCTTCTTTCATTTTTTTGCTTTGACTCCAATTCTCAATGATATATATAGCCTTTGGCTTTCAAGTTTCAATTTTATTTGATTCGGACAACTATGGAATTGAAGTATGTCCGAAATACTCGTTTCCACTTGGCAAAACCAAAAATGAATTTAGTTTACGAGTAATAAAAACTTTTGCTTAGAAAATCAAATTGATACACTTTTGAAGGAGTACATAGTGTAATATAGTACACTTTCTCTACCCTTTCGTTCAATTCATACTTCACAAATCGCAGGATTAGCACTTTCTAAATACGCAGTCCCTTCTTTACTAGAACCACAACTGAATGCAATAGGATCATTTTACTAGACGTATACTTGACACTTCTAAGAGTCAGTGGAATTCACTGGTCGTTTGTGGCTATGGCCCCTGCTGCACATAATAAAATGGGATTAATTTTTCCCCTAGCGTTGGTTTGATAGGTTTATGATGATAGTTGATGATGATTACTCACAAACAATGACAAAAAATTATTGCAACATTGTAATTTGTAACTACTGGATAGGGATTTCTGACCTAGGTTAATAACATGCTGATGGTTACGCGTATCTATTATTGCGCTTCAGAAGTCTGATACCTCCGACTCTTTTCAATTATAATTCTTCCATTGATTTGGATTAACTAAATCCCCTCCTCTATAAACTTGACCCTTTAACTTTTGGACTTATGAAACTTAGTTCTATATAAACAGTTTATGTGTTTAACTCTGATTAATGCTGTTGTATTATATAGTTAGTAATCTTAATGTAGTGCATATCCTTTTTCTAGTACTAGATACATACCCATAAGTAGCTTTTAGACTAGGGAACTTCCAAATGGGAACTTAAAAGTTTCTGTTCATCTTTTTCCTCCTTTTATACATTATATGAAATCGTTAGAGAAAAGCTACTGGCCTACAGCCTAATGAAGCAAACATGATAGAAACTCCAAGACGTGAAATTGGAGTAAAGTCACGAGAACTTAAGAGGAAAAATCAATTTTTGCATGAATGCCCTTCCACGAAGCACTATTGTATAGATCTTTCCTATTTGGCAGATCAGTTGTAATCAAGCCTAGTATGGAGGCTCTCACCCTTTTAAGTAGTTATAATATAGTTGGAAATTTGTTTTTATCTTGCTACACTTAATATTGCTCGCTATGCAGAATTTGCTGCAAATCAAACATTGTTTAAAGTGGAGTTTCTTATTAAATCTGCAGCATTCCATTATTGGATTATTTTTCCTTGACAGATTTTTTTTGACCTGAAACAAAATGCATAAATATACAATTAGACTCTGGTGGACCAATATAACGGCCTTCTGCTATTACAAAGACATAAATTTTACTATATTTGAAATAGGCATAATTTGTTCCTTCATTTAAGGTTTGAAAAACCTGTTGCAATATCAATAGTCACTTCCATGTAGTTATTAAATGGGATAAACACATCTCTTATGAGAACCGCGTGGATGCATTGTAAATTGTAATGACATGCAAGCAACCATGCTCATAATGATTTCCATCAACATACATCATTCTTAACATTCACTTTTGCTCTAATAAGACAGAATGTACCGTACAATGATTTAGAACATCATATATCTTTTTATGCTTTATTCTTTTTATTCTTCATTTGTAAGTTTGCCTTATCATAAATCTTTTTTCACAGAACAAAACAGATTTTTGGTGTGTCTCTCTCGCTCATTCTCATCAACCTGGCTGCTATTATGGAGCGTGCAGATGTAAATCTTCTTCCATCTGTCTACAAAGAAGTTAGTGAAGCATTTAATGCGGGGCCATCTGATTTGGGTTACCTCACATTCATAATGAACTTTGTTCAGGGGCTATCATCTCCTCTGGCTGGTATACTTGTTATTAACTATGATCGCCCAACAATTCTTGCTATGGGCACTTTCTGCTGGGCTTTATCTACAGCTGCTGTGGGTGCTTGCCAAAATTTTCTGCAGGTTGCATTCTGGAGAGCAATAAATGGCTTTGGTTTGGCAATTGTGATTCCAGCACTGCAGTCTTTCATTGCCGATAGCTACAGGGATGGAGCGAGAGGAACTGGATTTGGATTGTTTAGCCTTATTGGTAACATAGGAGGCATAGGAGGTGGTGTTTTGGCTACGGTCATGGCTGGCCAGCAATTTTGGGGCATTCAAGGGTGGCGATGTGCCTTCATTTTGATGGCAACTTTGAGTGCATTAATTGGTTTCCTTGTTTTACTATATGTGGTTGACCCGAGAAAAGGATATACCACCACTCATGATGCTACTGAGAGTTCAGACAGGTAATGATATTTTACAATTCACATCACTCGTGGCATTTAATAATACTTACAACAACTTTAAGTACTTTTTGACCTCTTAAGTGCCTCCAAACTTTCTGTCATATTGTTTTCATCCTCATAAATAAAACTGAATGCTTTATTTTATATCTCTTTGACTGGTAAATATCCGTAAAGCAGCTCCGTGTGTCAGCAGGGATGACTCTATCTATAAGGGCAGAGCTAGTGCAGCATCAATTTGGATGGACTCTTGTGCAGCAATGAAAGCTGTGATCAAAGTTCCAACATTTCAAATAATTGTCTTACAGGGCATTATTGGGTCGCTACCATGGACTGCCATGGTGTTCTTCACAATGTGGTTCGAACTAATTGGTGAGATGAAGCCAGCTTCTGTACATTACGATTCTAATGAAACATTGCAAATTTGTATTTTTCTGTTTGTTGTATATAACCCAAATAATTATTCAAACCTTAATCTTTTACGAGGTTGATGTTTATAATCTGTCTTACATATGAATACTTTTCTCTCCTTGCTTGACGTGATGAATTGGTTCATTGTGCAGGTTTTGATAATAATACTTCAGCAACCCTTCTGAGTCTTTTTGCAATTGGATGTGCTATGGGCTCCTTCATTGGTGGATCAATAGCTGATCAATTGTCACAAGTCTACCCTCATTCTGGTCGTATCATGTGCGCACAGTTCAGTGCCTTTATGGGTATTCCATTCTCATGGTTTCTTCTTAAGGTGATCCCTCAGTCAGTAAGTAGTTTTCTTACCTTTTCTGTCACCCTCTTTTTAATGGGACTAACTATCAGCTGGAATGCTACGGCTGCAAATGGCCCTATGTTTGCTGAGGTAGTCCCTGTCAAACACCGGACCATGATTTATGCATTTGATCGAGCTTTTGAAGGCTCGTTTTCTTCGTTTGCGGCTCCACTGGTTGGTATTCTTTCTGAGAAAATGTTTGGCTACAATTCAAAGTCTGTTGATCCCATCAAAGGATCTTCACCAGAGGCTCTTGCCTTGTCAAAGGGCCTCCTTTCAATGATGGCAGTTCCATTTGGATTGTGTTGTTTGTGTTACACGCCACTATATTATATATTTAAGCGGGACCGTGAAAATGCTAGAATGCTCGCCGTGAAAGAGGAGGAGATGATGTGAGAGACACTTTTTAATTTTTAAGAATGGTAGATCATGTCAAAGGAGCCCTCTTAACTCTCCTCTGCTTGTGACTTGGGTCCCAATCGGAATTCTCTCTAAATCATCTCCCCGGTATACAAGAAAAGAAACATTTGAAACCATGCATCTTCAAATAATGTCCTCCTTTGTTTTTCATTTGAAGAGGCCTCTGTTGACCTTCCATTCATGGTTCAATCATGGCGAGGCTTCTGAGAAACGAAGTCGCACTGAGCGATTGCTTACTCTTGACAGGGATTATCTGGCTGAACGGATCAGAAACATGACTAGAGTATTGACAGCAAACTTTATAGCAAATTAGGGTAATGAAACCTATGCTCATGCTGTTCTGTGGCACGACCACTTTGTTTTCCGTCGATTGTGCATTGTAATATACACAGAATTGAATTTGTATGTTTGGATTAATTTCACAGTACAATCTTAATGCTATTGAAACGTGTACGAACAACTTAAATTAATCACACTAAAAAATCTCGCAACCTCGAGAATAAACTTCATTATATTTGATCACATGCTAACTGCACTCACTTTAAGAAAATAAATTAAAGAATTATTTTGTTGGAGATAATTTTATCTATTACACACACATTTTATGTGTGGGTCACGTGAGAGAAGAAAGAGAAACTGAAAGTATAGACCCCACACACTTATTTATGTGTAGGAGATAAAACTATCTCGTAGAACATGAGAAATATTAATCTCATAAATTAAAGAGTTTGATATTTGTCATGTTGTAGGAGAAAAAATTATCTCATACACATATAAAAGTATGTAGAGCATGTAAATAGAAGAGAAAAAAAATATGGTTCTCATGCATCTTTATATGTGTGTAAAAAATAAAATTATCTCCTACAACATTAAATATTTAACCTTGAACATTTTTAGCAATTCCACGAGACAAAGAAGTTACCACAGTACTCATAGTTTTTATATTCTTCTATGTGCTTCTATGTCACTATACATTTTGAAATCAGACACCAAGTAACCCTCCTAACTCTAGGGTGGTAATTCGGGTTGACATGACACGAACACGAATACACTTAACAAGAACACGATTATAAAATCAGGTTAAAACCTTCAACAAGAACACAACTAGGGGTGGCAATGTATTACACGACCCGAACCAGACACGAAGTTTTCATGTTTTGGTCAACCCGTTTTCATTTTCGTATTGTGTTTGGGTTGGCAAAAACTGATCCGAAAAAAGTTCAGGCCGTGTCATGTCGCGTGTTAACCCGCGAACCCGGAATTGATCCGCATTAATTTTTTTACAATTTATTCATATCGTGTCGTAAACAAGTTATTCGTGTCTTATCGTGTCATATTGACCCGCATAATAAGTATCACAATTTAGAATTTACAGGTTATTCGTGTCGTGTTGTGTCAACCCATATAATAAACGATACACTATGAGTTTTCGTGATGAATCAACCCACAAAAAAGCAAGTCATGTTCAAGCCAAAAAATTTAACCCAATTTCAAATCGGTGTCATGTTCGAATTAAGTGTATTCATGTCGTGTCAAATTTGGATAGTATTAGGTTGACCTGAATTGTCACCCCTAAACACAACCCGCTTATTTTGCGGGACAAGACGCAAATAACTTATCAACCCCAAAATGTATTACTTATTATATAGGTTAACATAACACGATAAGACCCAAATAACCTATTTGCAACACGATATAACACAATAAACTATAAAAATATTTACACAGGTCAAGTTCAAGTTCACAGGTTGACACACAACCCGATACAAATGTTTTCAAGTCAATTTTTGACTATATATTGAAAACGAGTCAATTTAAACACAAATTTTTAATGTCATGTAAACAAATCACGTTAAAAATTATCACCCTTACCTAGCTCTTTTATTTCTGCTGCGTGACTTCTCAAGACAAAGACAAATGCATTTATGGGCACTCCGCGGGGTAAGTTTCGGAGCTGAGAAGGAAAGCAATTGAAAAGACTCAACAGAAAACGCAAGCGAGACAATATTGATATCGACAGCTGAGCCCAATTTCTGCTTGGTTCACTTTAGAATAATACGTCTAAAGTTCAATAAATCACAGAAGTTACAGTAACATTTAGATGCGTTTGGTAGTCTTAGGAACTTGTCCTGTTTCTCCACCAAGAAAAATAACATACTGACGAAAGAAAATTGCAATTTTTTTAAATAAATTTTACAAACCACGGGCCTTCAAGCATTGATATATTTGAACAGGACTCGAAGGTATCGAGCAAAGGCTTACATACAGCGTGGGAAAAAGGTTTGCCCCACATATCCACCAGCCATAGCCCTCCTCACATTAGATTCAAACATCTTTGGATTATCTCTCAACACAGCGGCGGCATCATGATTCAGTGGATCCTCATAGTTTGGTTCCTGCATACAATTAGAAGATTAGATTCCAAAGATGAAAAACCCAAAACGGAAAAACCCATAGTCATACCGTGAAGAGATGATACAAGCCATAGATGACAGTATTTATATTGAGCACAGGTTTCCAATCTTCTCGTAAGATGTTGAGACAAACATTTCCCTCCAAGTCAATATTTGGATGGTAGACCTGCATATACGAGATAACGCTACAAAATCAAGTTATAATATTGAAACATAATATGAAAACAACAAGTATATCCAAAACCAAAATTAAACATGTGCTGTGTACATGAATGAAGCATTAAATATGAAAAAAAAAAGATAATCAAATCCATCATCATACCTTTGTCTTGCACTTAACCTTTGGCGCCTCGTGTGGATAGATGGGAGAAACTTGGAAGGAAAACAAAAATGTGCCACCTCTGTGACAACAAACAAAACATAGTGGAGACTCGTGAGCTTGTTCTCTGGTTTTTCTTCATTTCGAGGGTGCGGATAGATCCTCCCAGATTATACATTTTATTTAGCATTTAAAATAAAACATAAAATGAAGACAGTATAGGGACATCAATGCCTTCAACAAGAGTCAATAACAAAATTTGACCACAAACTTGAAAATAAAATGCACATAATATGAAAGCTTCCTTACAAGTAATATCCATCATCAGGTCGAATTGAAACTTCAAAGTTCATCAGGTCATCTTTGCCATTGGGGAATTGTATGATACAAGATTTCGGTAGATTCAGCTCACTTATATCTGAAAGGTGTAACACTCCGCTGTGACAAAAACTTCTATAACAAAATAAAATGGTAGAAACTACATGTTCAAGCAAGGTTGAAACAGGAAACAGCAACCAAAACACTACAGCTTGAGATGCGATATCATAGCTTAGCTAGTGAACTATTTATAGAATAGCAGTTCCCAGGTCTGCAAGATAATATGTAAATATTAATATATTAAGTTGGCCAATGGTCAAACAAATTTCTAGCTTATCCCAGAAAAGAAATATCCATCCAAGGAGTTCTAAACACCCTTTTATAATGTGTCAATAATGCACGCACTATTCTAAGCCAACTGTAGGTACATCAGTTATTGAGACTGAATTCCAAAATTGAAGTTTCAAGATAAATACCCTACCTTGAATATACAGATAATAGACACAACCGCACTATAAACAGCAAAAACAAGCACCTGGTTACTCTCCCAATAAAAAAAGGTTGGTTCACCTAATAACTATGCTCTCCTCTAAGCATCCATTGACAGCCACCAGAACCAAAGAAAATTAGATAAAGCAACAATTAAAGCATGAATTTGCTAAAGTTCATCAATGAAAAAATCTCTAGTCCTCATCCCCTCAAACAAGGTGGAGATCCTACTGTAAATTTTCACAGAAACATGCAACCCCGGCAAATGCTTCTACCAGATTCTTATAACCAAAAACTCAAGGTTTAATACTCTCTTGTCTCTACCCATTTTCTTTTGGGCCTCGTGTCCAAAGCAAGAAACAAACAACTTACATTTACATGTTTTATAACATCTCCCCATTTAATAATATAACTTTAGTAAAGAAAAGAAAGTAAATTATATTGGCTAATATTAGTAAGTAAGAATGTAGATTCTAATTCACTCCCTAAGCCTGAACCACCAAGAAAGCAGCAGATGATTCAATGATTCACATTGCAAAACAACTCCAGACATTACAAAATTCAACGAGATGTATAACATTTAGTATGAAGTGCTGCGCCTTTCCAAATTAAATACACTTTTTTGAGTTCAGAAACCAAAATAAATAACTTCTGACAATAATTTCTGTAGTCTATGCTTTTCATTTTCATCCTACATCAACTCAATTTCTCTAGTAGCCAAAAAAGTAAACAAGAAAATCTTATTTTCTGTTATCAAATAAATCAATTAAGATATTCATATAATCTATTTCTAGTTTTCAGTCTTGTACCCATCTCTCCCTCATGCCCCAATCGACCAACCCCCACAAAATTCCTGCTCTGGCAATTTCCAGCAACACAACCAACTTTTACACATTAAGCTAACATATTAGCATTGGGACTTTATTTTCCTCTTTCCCTGTCCATTTCCTTGGTTTCAAATTTTTAGGGAGGGGGTGCAGGAGGGCCACACAAATTTGGCATGAAAAAACATACAAAAAAACTTCATTTAATAAAAAGAAGGAAACCTTTGTGAAGACGCAACTCGCCAGCACTCTGCTTCTTAATGGGTGCTCCGCCACTTGCATTTTCTGCAAGTTCTCTCTGCTTTTCCTTTACTTTAAACAGTTTAATCATAGTCCTACAAGAAGGACATCAACTCCGGCATTAGGGCACATTTTATCGTAGACTACGAACTTATCCAAGAAAATAAGATCTACAGCTTCCATCCAAAAAGAACAACAAGCAGGTAATAATTATAACCAAAAAAAAAAAAACACTCCCCGTTAAACCCGACTAGCGAGTGTGGGATACCTTATGCAAAGAGGCTGTTGCTGGATTTGAACCCATGACCGAAAAGTCATGAAGGAACAGTTTTACCACTGCTGTGGTTCGCCCCCTTTAGGTAATAATTATAACATAGGGGAAAAAATAGTTAGGCCAATCTTGTTCTTTGTAAACCTCAAGAAAACTATAACAGGCCGAGGAAGCATGCCATCTTCCCTATTCTGAACAAAAGTTGCCTTAAGCTCAACCATTTACAATAAGAAGGTAAAAATATTTCATAGTTTATTGACTCAAATAGCAGCTTTCCCATTCTGGCAATAAATCTAACACAAAGGAGCAATACAGTTTTCTCTTGTAAACATAATCTTAGCTCAGAAAATGAGCTATACTGTTAGCGTCATCATTAAGAACTTGTTGTTCCCATACAACGTGTGGGCATCGACAAATTCGAATAACAGATGATGAGCAGATCGCGTTGAAGACAAAAATACTCTGGTCTTATTGAATAACCGGATCAACAAAGGGCACTCGATCTGGTAACAAAATAGTAAATCCATGGCCCAATCTTTCAACAAAGGACCCATACCAAAAAAATGAAACTTTCATCTTTGAGAGTTTTTTTATAATTCAAATTCAATTGTAATTTCAATCAAAGATATGGCCAAATTATCAATTATGGTTACGCTACTGGAAAAAGAAACGAGAAGAAACCCTAGATAAATAAACGCAAAAGGAATCGGGAAATCTGAGATAAATGGAACAAGAACAGAGAGAAAATCCAATAATCAAAAGAAGAAGAATAAGGAAATGAGATTTGTAAGAAAGAAAGTGAAACCTGGTTGATAAGAAAGCGCAGAGAGGAGGGAATGATGACACGCAGAGTTTCGAGGTTTTCTCTACCTCTGCAAAACCTTAACTCTATTTTCTCTTTCGCACCCAAAAAGCCTTCGTAATCATTATTTGCAAATGCATTATCACATGCTGCCTTTTATTTATTTATTATTTTTCTTTATAAGTGTAATAACCGGTTCTTCCTTCGAATTATTCCGGTTCAGGTACTGTTAGAATTTATAGAGGGGTGACTCTTTCTTTCAGAACCCTTTTTTTATGTGAAGAATATGATGCTTTTTTTACATGTTCAATCTCGTTTTATTTTATTTGGATTTTTTATTTATTTGTTTACTTATTTTTTGGTGAATGTGGATTTTATATTTATTTATCGTTATATTTTTCTAAAGAAAAGTTCATAAATCCCCTACAATGTCTCTTGTAATTACTTACCCCCTATGATAATTTTTTATCATTTATTTCCTATAATTTTTTTTATTAAGTCCACTTCTAATTCTGTTAACAATTAATTTAAATTATCCATTTTACTGCTGTAAACAGAATCATTGTAGAGATAAAAAAAATTATACTGCAATATTTTCTTTTATCCAACTCTGATTTGTTTTCTAATATTTATACTAAACTATAAAAAAAAAAAATTGATCCCAACAATATTCAGAGAGAAATTACAATGATAGTTACAAGTCAACAACTATTTTTATTTTCCAATAAGATAATATTCACAACATTGATAGCGAGAATAAACACTTAGAGGCTATATTTGACTGAGATTTTAATGGATTATTTTTGGACAAAAAAATCTATTGGTATTCCATTAAGATTTTAAAGGATTGAAAAAAAATCATGTGGTATTCGATTAGGATTTTAAATCCATTGGTATTCAATTAAGATTTTAAATAAAGAAAAATAAACTTGTGGTATTCAAAAATCCGACAATTTTAATGAATTTTCTATTGACGTGAATTTCATAAGACTTTTCAGTAAGAAATATAAATAAGATGTCTCTCGCACAATCTCACCCTAATCCCTAGAATTTCTTTGAATTTTTTTATTGCAGTGTCTCACAATCTACTATAGTCTTTTCTCAAAGCCAAGATATGTTCTTTTTTTACTCTCGTATATTTTCTCAAATTGTGGTATTCTTCCTTCGTGATTAATGAGGTGCTTCATTATTATTATTTTTACCAGAGTTGACGAGAAACATGCATGTTCTCACGTCTTCAATATGAAATTGAACTAATAAGCTTACCACATACATTCTTCGTCGACCTTCTTCTTTTGTATATTTTTTGGATTATAATGAGCATAAAATCCTAATATTCTTCATATTAGGCAATGATACATATTAAAAATCCTAATAATACGGTGGCAATCTCTCTCTATATATATATACACACACATACAATAGCACATACATATTTAATGAGCATCTTCTTTAATTTGTATATGTATCTGATCTCAATTGGAGACAACAATATACATGCTCTATTAAATAATAAATATTTTTTTTTAGTTTTCATACTAATTTTATATGTATTATATATATAATTAAGTAAATATTTCCTAGTGGATTGTAGATTTCCCTATCGACCCCAATTTTTAACTCCATTTCAAGGTGTGCGATATCATCTGCAAAATTTTACAAGTCATGGTAATGACCCTCAAAATGCAAATGAATTGTTCATTCTTCATGCATCATTGAGAAATGTAATTGAGAGGATATTTGACATTTAAAACACAAGTAGAGCTTGTGTTAGCATTGTAGCACAACACAACTTTCTTCGCAAAGAATGTCGTTCAGATGAATTTCCAATCAAATCAATGGATGCATCTTCATCTTCAGTATCATCAGTTAATAAAGAAGATAATTTTCAACCTATTGGTCAAACCTAAGAGCAAGAATGAGAAGATGTTAATGCGTGGAGGACTAGTATAGCTTTAGATATGTGGAAAATTGTTGCTTAATAATTTTGAATGTTTGTTAGAATTATATTAGGTTTTACTTTTTTTGTTAATATCATTGCATTTCTTTGTTATTTTTTTTATTGACTCTTGTAATTTTGAATGTTTGTTAAAAATTCATGTGATTTTTTAAAATCTTATAAATTCTTATTGTCCTTTCAAATCTTATAAATTCTATTAAAATCCTTTAAAATCCAATATTATGAAATCTTGATTGTAAAAAAAGGTTTTTAAAAAAATCTTTAAAGTTCCACTAATTCTAAATAGTCGTTTAAAATCTATAAGATTTTTTATCTCAAAAAAGTCTTTTAAAATCCTAATCCAATACACCCCTTTAGCTTATAACTATTATCCTTCTTCTTACAAATTTATATATCTTTAATAAAATTGACTTGACCTGTGTTTGATAAATGTATTAATAACTATATCTTTAATCAATAAATTTATATGTAAATATATTTTTACTAGTTTATTACTCGTGCGATGCACGGAGAAAAATAGAAGTCAGTTTGTTTATCTCATAAAAGTTAATGCAAATTTTAAATAAACTTTACAAATAAATTTTTCTATGACATAATTATTAAATAAATAATTGAAAGATAAAATAGATAAAAGATTTGCAACTTAATATTCAATGTTGTCTATATTAGACTCTGATAATGTTATATTAGTGACTCCAAAAATCTGCAATAATAAATCTCTTGGAAGATATTTCAGGGACATCTATCTCTATTTTTCAATCATTCCCCGCTTTGCAAAAGATAAAGAATCAATCATTCAAAGAAGGTTCAGGAAAAAAATAAGGAATATCATAAGGTTTTAGAAAATAATTATGATTAAGAGACTAACATGTAGTTTATAAAAAAGTAAACAAATAAACTTCTAGATACATATAAATTAAAAGAAGTCGGTTGAAGTGTAGACACGTGAATAATAAAAAATTTAATGACAAACATAGTTTTACGATGCAGAATGTGTTTCTTCATTTTTTTTTAGTTGAAGATGGTTTACCATAAATGTATTTTATTAAACTTTTTTTTCGTAATCAAACAAAAAAATAGATATTTTCAGATTTCAAGTAATAAGTGAATTATTGCATATTAATTATTGCAAAAAATTAACCTCACAAGACAAAGAAGAAAAACAAACGCAAAAAATTTAGATTATATTAAATATCATAACGTCAAATAATTAATGTTTAACCTCATGTTAAACATTAGACAATCATCCACAATTGTTTAATCAAACGTCAAATAAATATTAACACATTGTATATTTCCTAACTGTCTAATAATTCTCAAATATATAGTTCAACAACACCCAGAACAATGTTGATGCTACACAACTTCTTCCACAACAGTTTTGTCCATACACAACTTCCCTTTCTCCAACAAGGTGTCTCCGACTTCAGCAATAAAACTTATTAAAAAAAAGTGTTGGGGTCATTATATTGTATTAATGATATAGAATATAGAAATAATATGTTGTAGAAAATTATAAACACACAAATAATGGGTAAGTACTTAACTATTTCTCTATCTTAATCTTTTGTTATGACAGTTAACTGAACAATTAAAATCTTCTTACTTGACGGCATCAGATTTTATTATCAACGGCGACAACAAAGTGAGGGAAACATTAGCAACATTGGCATTATCACATGTTTCACTCTCATCATCCTGGTAAGAAATTAAAATTATATAAAATTATGAAACATTATACAAATAATGCATAAAATATTTAATTGATAAAATCTAATTTTAATTTAAAGATATCGCAGCTCTTTCCGGATCTGCTGATACAACATCAGTGTCGCAAGCTTTATCGAAGACTGTTTGATCCTGAAAATTAAATATATTTGTAAAACTAATACAAAGTACTAATATAATCAAATAATGTTTGAAAACGAAAACAACATTTAAGGTATGATGCGATAATAGCTTCGTCGTAGCAAATTTTAGAAACTTGATATTTTGGCTCTATGTATGATTCCAAATTATTCTTTTTCATATTGACTTTAAAGAACATAGAATTTTCATTAAGAAAGTTAAGCTCTTCCTAATAATGATCCAAATTACCAACCTGCATCAAAATGTTATACAAAATTAATTTTATTAATTATTTTTCTTAAAAGAACCTTAGTGAACAGAAAATGCAGAGGAATTAGAATCAGATCCTTTTGAAATGATGCTCGCATAAATCAACGACATTAATTCCCAACAAAGCAACATAGTCTCTATCGAACAAAAGAAAAGAGAATCTGTGTTATCCATAACTCACTTGAATATTGAATATGCTAGACATTAACACTAGTTGTTTAGTTACAAATTACAAAGGAATAAGTGAAATGTGTAGTACTTTGTCATTGAAATATTAAGATTCAAAACACGTTGAGGACAATAACTTACTTTTGATGATAATCATCCCAATGTTTCTGACAGTTCTTACAATACCATTTTTCAAAATCAGAACAAACAGAATATAGACATTTCTTACAGGACTTATACCACTAGTTGTATCTCTCCAACAACCACCCTTGTGTTTTGCGTTTCCCACTTGGCTATAAATGGTTGCAACTTAACTGCCCAATTCTTAGCCTGTTTACCGCGCAAAGTAACATCATGAACGCCTCCAAGTCTAGCAGGTGCACCTGGGATGCAGGGTTCCAAACCAAACTGACACATTATCCTATCTGGCTGATGAGCTTCCACATAAAGAAACTAATAAATGGGGTCACGGATCTCCACATCACCTGACTCTCCAAAGATGCACCAAGAAAATGATAATGTGTATACGGCTGCTAATGATATGCGACAAAACAACCAAGTTAATAAACAAGTGATAAAATAATGTAACCGACAAATATTAAAGATATGTACAAACTTATACATCGGTTCTGCCCATGGTTTCAGTGTCGATCTATAGTGCATTAAATCCTTTGGCCAAATCCACCTCTGAAAATTATTAAATCTGAAGAAAAAAACCCAAAAAAGAAATAATGCCATTAAATAAACATGTATTGTTGTCTAAATACAAATTTCGCGGTACAATACGCAAATATCATCATACCTTAATTTGTAATGATCATTTGGATTAGTCACAGGTGGTATAAACGATGCAAGGGGCGGGAATCTGGCCCATGCCCATATCTGCAACAAGTTCAGGAAACCAGACATAATATTT